CTCTCTCTCTCTCTCTCTCTCTCTCATTCACTCACTCACTAAAAATCTAAAAAACAAAAACACTACAATATTTTGCAGACACTAATGACTAATACGAGTAGTTCTGACATAACAACCGGCAGTCGTAACCCTAGTAATGGGAACGGCGGCGGTGTAGGGGGTGACCTAACACCACCGCCACCCCCTTCATCACCACCGCACACACCGGTGCTAATCATACAACATTCACATTCATTGGACTCGCTATCATCGCCACAGACCACACCGGCGGACACATCGTCCGAAGGGGACGACTACTCGCTAAGCTCGGAGCCGACAAACACCAGCACCAGTACGGCCACCGGTGGGGCCGACAGTCTGGACAGGCGGTCGCCGGACTACCAGCGCCGCAAACAACAACAAAAACTGTTTTTCATTGCACGGGAGCTGTACTCGAGTGAAGAGGTGTTCATTGATGTCCTACACCTGTTGAACACCGACTTCCGGGCGGCGGTTGAGCCCCATATACCCGATGAGGCGCTCCAATCCATACTGAAATTGTTGCCACAATTACTACAAATTAATGAACAACTGGTCAAAGATCTCAAGTCAAGGATAGACGACTGGCCTAATCATCAGCGTATATCCGGTACGCCTGAATCATAATTGTTAATTAGATTAGTTTTTAATCTTGTTAATTATTTAATTTGAAATATGTTTAAACTAGTTAATTCATAAACTGATAATTGTTTTAAATTGTGAATTTAAACTAGTTTGTATAAATTATTTATATAATTAAAAGAATTATATTAGAATATTATGTCAATATTTTGACATTTTTAAAAGTAATTAACATTTTGTTGTATTATCTAGACGTTTTAGTCAAGATATGCCCATTTCTCAAACAATACTCGCTATACATACGGGACTTCGAGCACATATCGGCCGCGTATGACGAGTGCCAGCGGCGGTACCCGGCGTTCGCCGCAGCCGTCAAAGAGTTTGAGTCGACCGCCCGGTGCCAGAAGTTATCAGTCAAACACTATATGCTTAAACCAGTACAACGGCTGCCGCAGTATAGGCTACTATTGCAGGACTACTTACAGCACTTGGCGCCCGACTCGCTTGACTACGAGGACACGTGCCGTGCGCTGACCATTGTGTCACAGGTGGCCGAACACGCAAACAACTCGATGAAAAACAATGAAAATATTAGCAAGTTGCTCAGCATACAGAATAGTATTATTGGCGGCACCGAGGTGATTCGGCCCGGCAGGGTGTTCGTTAAAGAAGGCGAACTCATGAAACTGTCCCGCAAAGGCATGCAGGACAGGTGGTTCATATTGGTAAGTTCCTGGGTGATAGTTATTTATAAACATTTTTATTTTTTTTGGTCAGTCTATTTAATAGACTCTATTAATTTGTTTGCATGTTTTTGTGTCTCCATGTTTGGTCCACTACTACCATCTTCATCACCACATACCTGGCCTCTCATCACTACATTTACAATTATTAGTTCAACGACTGTCTGATGTACTTAACGGCTGTGCAAAACGGTGTGTATCGCGTGAACCATGAGCTGAGTTTGACGGGAATGCGTGTCTCACTGCCCGCACAACAGGACTTTCAAAATGAATTCTCAGTCATATCTCACACCCGATCCTTCTCTCTGGCGGCCCGGTATGTGTCAGAGCGAGAGAGAGAGAGAGAGAGAGAGAGAGAGAGAGCAAATGTCTGACCAAATGTTAACTGTTGTGATATTTTTCAGCTCAATGAAAGAACGGGAGGAATGGGTTTTAGAGCTGAACAAAGCGATCAAAGAAAACACTACAAAACGCATATCATTTGCCAAATCCGGTGTAAGTATTTCTTATAGTGTATGCATATTGTGTACATTTGTTATATTAAACTTTTGTACACATTTGGTAATGAAGAGTTACTACGAGTTTGTTTATTAAGGCATTTTCATATTATTATACCTGATTATTTTAACTTTATTGGATAAAAGGTTTAAAAACTTAATAGTTTTCTTATCAAACAAAATTCATTATGATAAATAATGTGTTAAAAAATGTGTCATTTATTTAGTCAAATAATTCCAATTTAATAATTTGACATCTTAATTAATATTTAAACATTTGAAAACTAGCTTGACAAAAATACTAAAATATAACTAAAGGATATTAGTCTCTACGTTAACTGTTAAACACATAATAATTATTTCTACAACAATAAATTTAGATAAAAATTTTAACTATTATTAATCCTTCGCAGAGCGTATGCAACGACGAGACGTTAATCCCGGCGCTAGACTTGGGCACAGTGGCACCGGTATGGATACCGGACGCCCGGGTGACCATGTGCCAACTGTGTACCGAGGAGTTTAGCGTAACCTACCGGCGCCACCACTGCCGATGCTGTGGTAAAGTGGTGTGCGGCCCCTGTAGTCAAAACAAGGCTCCGCTACCCTATCTCAAAAACCGTACGGCTCGGGTGTGCGACGAGTGCTTTGAAAAACTGCGGCAACAAATGGAGAGACACCAGAAGCGTATGAGTGCCGCCAGCGGTACGTCCCTCGACCTGTCGCTGAGCTCGGCGTCGGCCGCGACCGGTGCCGCCGCCTCGGCCTCCGATACGGACGACTCCGGCTGGAGTGGCCTCCGAGAGTGGCCCCAACTCTTCGCCCGCAATCTGGTCCGCAGCAGTCATCGGAAGGCCAAACACCGATACGTGCCGTCCGTATTGAAAGAGGTAATGAACT